TCTCACCAGCCCCCTTTCTTTCTTTTAAAAAAATATTTATTTATTTATCTGATACAGAGTCTCACTACTGTAGTGATCCTGCTGTTTCAGCCTCCCCAGTGCTGGCATTACAGGAGTGTGCCACCACGCCCAATTTCAGGTTGGCATGATATACCAGAGGTTCCAGTGCCCTCATGGCATGTGGTACCAGGGACTGAACTCAGGTCCTTGTGCTTGCCTGGCAGGCACTTAGACCACTGAGCAAATCCCCCAGCCCCTTTCTTTGTTTTTTGAGACAGGGTCTCACCATGCAGTGAAGACTGGCCTTGAATTCATGGCAATGCTCTTGCCTCAGCAGCTTTCTGAGCACTGGGATTACAGTTACAGGCGTGCCCTACCATGCCCAGAAGCCTTCGCCCATGCCATTCCTTCTGCCTAGAATACATAAGCCCCTCCCCTAGCCTTGTAACTCACCTAACTGGTCTTTCAGGTGTTAGCCCTTGACCAGGTTTCCTGTATTTTCCTTCCTCTATGGTAACAATAATATCTTATATTTTAATTGCCTTTTGAGTGTTTACTTTGTGTTGGCTATTGTTCTAAGCACTTTATCTGTATTAACACATTTAACTAAAACAACAGTTCCACCAAATATGTACCATTATTACAGGGGACTGAGTGCAGAGAAGTTAAGTGACAGGCAATGAAGTAGCACCTAGCTATGAAATGGGAAGCACATAAAACCAGTGTGGGTGTATTGGGCATGCTTGTAACCCCAACTACTCAGGGGAGTGAGGTGAAAGGAATGCAACGTTGAGACCCGCCTGGGAAAATGAAGCAAGACCCTATCCGAAAAGAATGAAACAAAACAAAAAACCCTTCTATACCAGTGATTAGCATGAGAAGAAAAAGGTGAATTATTTTGGGTTGTGCTCACTGCTATAAAGAAAACAATATCATGAAGGGATTATAAGGGAGAAACAGAAAACATCTTAGAAAATAATAATTTATTCTCTTGTGTAAGTTTCTTTTTCTTCCATCTCAGTTAATAGCTATTTAGAACTGTAGTACAAAAATGAATAGAAGCTACAATCACACTGAGATTTAGATTTGCTTACAAGACGCTAAATAAGCCTATTTTGTTCTCAAGTAATCAGACGCAGTCTTCAGAACTTGGTATATGTTAATACTGTTTTGAAGTATTTACTGTCCTTCCCTATTCGCTCGTTTTGGGAAGACACCCTTCCCTTCCAAATTAAAGACCAGTGCAAGGCCAGGGGTGTAGCTGAGCTCAGAAGCGGACCCCTCGTCTGGGTCAATCCTAATCACTACCATGCCAGCCCTGCATGGCCACCTGATACAATACGAGCAGGAATAAAATGGGTCATTTCTGGGAGAAAAGTGCAAGAGCCAGCTGTGCTTCTCATGATGTTCCAGCCTCTAGGTCTGTAATGTTCCAGGTACTGTGCTACACCACTGCGGGATGTCACCAAAGTGCATATACAATAACTAGAGCTATCCGAACCACAAGCACGGAGGACATCTTTATTGTTCCAGCCACTGCTATTTTGGGACTGATACTGCTTCAGTATGTCCTATCCTGACTAGTAACAACTTAAATGATAATCCTTTACACTGCATCCTCAGATGTGTTTCCCTGCAGTTATCAGTGGGAAATTGATTTACAGCTGAAAGAAAAAACTGTCAAAATTATCCAAGCAACATCAAGATTTATTATTATTATCACTATTATTTTGTCTTTTTTTGAGGCAGGGTCTTGCTATGCAGTGCAGGCTGGCCTTGAACTCACTTGGTAGCCCAGGCTGGTCTCAAACTTGCAATCTGTAACGATCCTCTTGCCTCAGTTTCGGCATGAGCACTGCATCCAGCTTATCCTGCTTTAGAAGTATTTGGCAAACACAAAGAAATACACCTTAAAACACTTACCTCATCATAGTGACTTTTTGCAAACAGGAGGGCACACAGTTCCCCATAGAGTGCAGCTTTGTTTGCCTGTTGGCCATGCTTTGACAGTTTATCCATATATGTCTGTGCTAACTTAAATGTTTCTTCACCCAAGTGATATTTGCAGTTTCCATTTCGTACATGAAGTAACCTGTAAGACATAATAAGCAATCCTCTATTCCTGACAGTTCAAGCATGGTGGCAGATCTAAACTCTGAAAACCACTATACAGCCACCTATATGACAACATAAATGCAAGAAATGAGGCAACATCAGAAAAAACTGTCTGGCCCAAATGGGTTGGTCAATGCCTTATACTTTCTTTCTTTCTTTTTTTTTTTTTTAAATATTTATTTATTTATTTATTTATTTATTTATTTATTTATTTATTGTGTGTGTGTGGCCAGCTCAGCCCACCAGGGGGCGGGGTTGGCTGGCATGTGGTGCTGGGGGATTGAACCGTGGTCCCTGTTCTTTGCTTAGATTGTTCTAAGTAGGTGGTTTAGACCACTGAGCCATCTCACCAGCCCCAAAAATGGAATAAGGGTTTTTTTTTTTTCTTCCTCAAATGCTTTCAGGGCACTTTTGGCCAGCAGGAGAGTTGTGAGTTTCGAACTCCAGCAACCTGAGGCTGACAGCTTTGTGGAAGCAGCCACTTAAAGGACTGAGCTAGGGCCAGGCCCCCCTATTAATTTATTTATTTGTGTGTGTGTATGTATGTGTGTGTGTGACCAGCTCAGCCCACCAGGGGGCAGGGCTGGCTGGCATGTGGTGCTGGGGGATTGAACCGCGGTCTCTCTGCTTTAAGCTTGTTCTAAGTAGGTGCTTTAGACCACTGAGCCATCTCACCAGCCCCCGTGATTGAGATTTTAAATTCCTCTATATCTCTTTGACTCTGCTTCATGCGATCTATTTCTTTCCTGTATTGCTCATTCAAGGAATCGGTCATTTTTCTAATCTCCTCTATTTTTTTTTTTTTTTGGCGGAACTGGGGATTGAACTCAGGCCCTTGCGCTTGCCAGGGAAGCGCTTATTCCAATGAGCCATCTCCCCGGCCCTATTTTTTTTTTTTTAATCAATGTCTTCTTTTGAAGCAGTTATTAATTCTTTTACTGCAGTTTTTTTTTTTTCAGATTGGGTTTCCTCCCTATGTTTCTGTAGTTGATTCTTTACTTCAGATGCTATGAGTTCTGAGAATTCTTTTATTTCAGAAAATTCCGCTCTGAGTTTCTCTATAACTTTCTGCTGTTGCTTATTTACTATTGACGCTATTAATTTGTACATTTGAGCTGTGCTAGTTAAAAGAATTCTGCTGAATTCCTCTATGACTTTCTGTTGTTGCTTATTTACTATCGACACTATTAATTCATACATTTGAGCTGAGCTAGTGTCCTCTGCACTTGTTCTGGGTAGGCATTGGGTTTCCTCCATGTTTCTGCATTTGATTCTTTACTGCAGATGTTATTAATCCAGGGATTTCTTTTTTAATTTGCAATTCGAGTTCCTCTATACCTTTCTGCAGCTGTTTCTTTATTTCAGAAGCCATTGATTATTCATTGATTTCAGCTGTGTGATTCCCAATTTGTTCTGTGGTAGTGTCTTCTGCATTTATTATGGGTGGGCTTGGGGTCTGAGATTGCATTTTGTTCCTTCTCTTTGGCATTTTGTGTAGCACTGTCTTCTGATCTTTGTTGTAGAGCTTTGGTGCAGTTATAACCTTAGCACCTACTGAAGTTCAGGTGAAGATCTACAAAGTTTGGATTTATCCAGCTGTGCCTGGCTTGCGTCTTCGCTGCTGTGCTCAGCTCCTTCCTGCTGCTGCCCTTGGGAGTGAACCTGTTGTGCCCCTCTGGCAAGATGTTCTGCTCCTGGACTAGCTGGGTGGTTCTATCCCCTTCTCTCTCTGCAGGGATTGCAGCTGCAGGGTTTCACCTCAGGCCTGTATGCCAGGCCTGAGCTGAGTCTGGAGGGGACAAAGTAGAGTAGGGGGGAGAGACAGCTCTCCCACACACTCACTGGGCCTGGGCTAGGACTGGATCTGAGGATCCCCAGAATGTGGCAGAAATTTTCACTGGGAGGCAGGGTGGGGGGGTGCTGCAAAGTGGTGGGGGTTCCCAAGGGGTTGGAAGAGGGTATCACCCACGCTGCGCCTGGGCTGGGACCGACAGGTCCTGCCAGTGCAGGGTAGCTGGAAGCTCTCCCACACACTCACCGAGCCTGGGCTAGGACTGGATCTGGGGGTCCCTAGAACATGGTAGAAATTCTTATGCGGCAGATGGGGGTGTGGGGTGCTGCAGAGTGGTGGAGGACATCCCAAGGGGGTAGAAGAGGGTCTCACCCACGCTACGCCTGGGCTGGGAACAGCAGGTCCCGCCGGTGCACTAATATTTATTTTAGTATGCCACATTCATTTTTTAGAGCTAGTAGGAATCTCAATTTTTAGGTGGAGGAATTGAGATCATTTACATGTATTGTGGTGATAATTATATTTGGTTCTAATCTTTTATTCTTATTTTAACTTATTTATACTTATTTGCTATATTCTCTTTGTTTATATCTAACTTGATCACACTTCTCATTCCTCCCACCCCCCTATTCCCACCGTTCAAATTTGGAAGATCTACCACATTTTCCATTATACAAGTCATTATACACTCATCCTTAGCACTGTTGTTTGATCATTAATGATCTCATTCCTACCCCACTCACTGGCTGAGGATACAGCTAAGAGCACAAGCGCCGGTCTGGCAAGTGCAACGTCCCAAGTTCAATCCCTGGCAAGACTCTGACCTACCCCACTCACCAACATGAGACCTTTGTAAGACTTAATAGTTTAAAAGCAGGCTATCATATATGCCTAACAGAGTAATTTGAATATAAAAACATGCGCCTCCATCTTCCACCTCAAATATTTTTGCCAACTGAATAAAAACTTATCAAATTTTAGGAATGTACATGCAATACTTTAAAGGCTATAAGTCTTTTAATATCTAAATGATGGGGCTGGAGAGATGGCTCAGTGGTCTAAAGCACCTACTTGGAACAAGCTTGGCTTGGCAAAGCACAGGGACCGCGGTTCGATCCCCCAGCACCACATGCCGGCCAGCTGCGCCCCCTGGTGGGCTGAGCTGGCCACACACACACACACACACACACACACACAAAAAAAATGTAAAAAAAAAAAATCTAAATGACATTTTGGAAACTTCTTTTTCTCTTTACAATTTACAAATACAATTTTCTTCAAATATTGACATGCTTTTTATATATCATTGCAGCTACTCTGGAATAACCTTGAGTTAGTTTCAGATAAAACTTTCAGAGTGAAACTTTTACTGTCTGAAAAATTAGTCAGTTTGATCCTGTGGATGACATCACCAAAAATTTTCTCTCACACACTTATAACCCCAGCTACAAGAGGGGATGAAGGAGGAGGACAGAAAGTTTGAATCTAGCCTGGGTAACTCAGTCAGATCCTGTTGCAAACTAGAATAAAAAATGCAAAAGGACCAGGAATGTAACTCAGTGGCAGAGCATCTGCTTAGCACACAAGAAATTCTGGATTTGATTCCCAGTACTACAATAAAACAAAAACTTTTCCAAAGCTACCAGCAATTATTTGCAAAGTACAGAACTGCTACACTTTTTCATGGCTCCATGGCAAGCAGATGCAGCCATGACATCTACAAATGAACCACTGGTTGGATCAGTTGATGGCTTTTGGACCTCTGGCTGAGCTTAAGCTGCCCGGGCGAGGCCTGAGCCTGCAGCACTCCAGCCCGGTCTCCGAGTGCTAAGGGTACACGTGTGAGCCTCCAAGCCTGCCATCGAAAGTTATTTCTGGAAGTAATCTTGAAAACCTAGTCAGTGGAGCTGCAGTACCAACACAACTCTGAGGTCCCAGCACTCAGGAGCCTGAGGCAGGGGGTATCTGCGAGCTTAAGAGGAATGGGCTTACTTAGTAAATTCAAGTCTAGTCTGAAATGCACAGGGAGACTATCTCAAAAAAGAAAAAAGTGAAGATATCCAACACTGATAAGGTCATGTCCTCTAGAATAATTCCAAATCAAACTTCATTACTTTTTCTTTCTAAAGTGTAATGGTCCTAATGCTTTACAACCACACCTGACATCCAAATTTCATTTTTTAAAACAAAAATTCTGCCATGTGGCTGCTTCTATAAGCTCCTTTACGTTAGCACTAACCTAAGATTCAGGTTAACATTTCTTTCCCAAATAGTTCTTTGTTGTTTAAAACAATGTATCTAAAGGAACATCACATAAAATGTGAGAATTTGAGAGAACTCTTCATGCAATGGTTTTTGGTAAGGAAAAAAAAAATAAACCTTATCTTAATGTTTAAGAACATGTGGTTCTGGAGAATTTTAGTTTTACACTACTTATAAAAATTCTTTTATCTCTAGTTTGCAAAAAAAGAATTTTTTTTTTTTTTTGCGGAACTGGGGATTGAACTCTGGCCCTTGCACTTGCCAGGAAAGTGCTTATTCTACTGAGCCATCTTCCTGGCCCCTAAGGAAAGAGAAACTCCCCCCCCCTTTTATGTGGCTAGAGAAACCCCTTGATTTTCCTCAGATAAGATGCATGGTAGTATATTGAGTCTTGGTATAATCAGAAATTCTTTCTTTTGCTCTAAAAGTTGGGGATATAATATTTTCTTTTAGCAATTGGGCTACTGCTATAGTCTTCTATTTATCTTCAGATTTAAGAAAATTCAAACCACTCAGTTCTCTTTTAATCCAGATTTAAATTTTTCATAGAATTCCTTTTTTCATTTAAAAACAGTAACAAAGAAAAAGTATTGAGTAATCCATATCCATGATTTACAAATAAGTAACAGAAAAGGATTTTTCTTTTGTTTGGCAGTAATGCTGACTGAACTCTGGACTCACACACCAGGCTACACCTCTAACTCCCTAAGCTGTCCACTTCACCCTTGGGAGAACAGGTGTGCGACACCACAGATGGCTGGAAAAGGATTTAAAGTACGTTTGCTGTGTCCCAGCCTCAGAAACCCAAAGGCAACCCCTGCTCTCTTAGGTGACCTCAGACAAATCATGCTCACATGGATTGATTAACCCGAGGAAAAGCTGGAAAGGGGGCTCAGGAGGAGCCTTTCGGTTGTCAACTTCCC